TTGTCAAGGGTAAAAAAAAAAAAAAAAAAAAAATCACAGCCCAGAATTTTTAACATCCACTCCCCCATTTGCTTTGATTTAAAAGCTGCACTAATAGGAGAGAAGCCTCGACATTATAGCAGTTGAAACAGGAAACAAACACTGCTCTCTTCTAATAATTGTCTTTAGCTGCTTTGATTGGTTGCAGTTAATATTAATAGTATAACCTTTAAAAATTGTGGGGAAAGGTGATACTTTATCTTCACTCCTCATATTAAGGCTCCAAAGCAAGCTTAATGAGAAACCATTATAAAATCATACAGCTAAATAGTATCTTAACTCACAATTCAGCCTATATAATTATGTCAGTATTGCAACTGACAATTACTACTGATATATCAAACTTACCTTTCTCACACTGTGCTGCTCAGGATGTGTGTCACGATTACAGCATTAACTATTATTTGGGCTTACGTAGCAAGACAGATGAGAACTCTACCCTTACCACATCAACACAGAACTCAAATTTTGCTTACAAACAGAAATAACATGGTCTCAAAACCTATGGATATGCGTCCGTGACACAAAACCCACACATACCTGGCAACCTCTGCTCAGGATTTGTCACGGATCGACACAACATTAGGGCCACTAGTCAGGCTTTAGGGACTGGCCAAGTTTTTTAAGAGGGCAAGACTAGGACGTAGGCACATTTCAGCATCCCTGGCTCTAAACAATGCCTGTCTTCACTAGCACAATGTGACATTAAACTCATCCAACTAGTAGTGAACAACAAAAAAAAAATTGGTAAGTACATTTATAAATGACATTTTAAAGACTGTTAACATATAAAACATTATAATCTTTATGAAAATAGACCAATTTCAGCACAAGCTTGCCTTTCTGGGGGAGGGGGACACATACATTTTTTCTTTATTTTTTTAAAGGCAAGTGTTCTCCTGGACAGCTGCCAATAATCTTGTGTAAAATGTCCTTAAAGCAAGACAAACTCCTCTGTACTAAATCTTTTTAATCTTTTCTTTTCATCCTCAGAGAAGAGGTCATTTTCTTCACGGAGTGGACTGGAAGCAAAGTCATAGTCTCTAGAATGACCCTTTACAAAAGTAAACAAGGGGTATTTCTCCTTCGATGAAGATTTCAGCATCTACAACGTAAAACACATACCAGATGAAGCGTTAATTGGAAATGAAGAAACACAGTAAGTAGTGATAGTTATCCGATGATGACTGCAAAGTAAAAAAATTAATTTTTCATTTTTATTATCAGCATCACATTAAAACAAAAGCAGTGCACAATCTTAACATCCCCTCCTCCTGTTAAACAAACATTTGCTTCCATTTCTGCTTCAGGTAGCTGCTGATTTTATGTCTAACCTTTCATCTTGTTCCATACAGATCACCTCTATGTGCTGTTTCTTTCAGTGCAGCTGGAGCTCTTGTAGGAAGATAAAAACTACAAAATAGTTAATGGCCTCCTCAAGCACAGGTATGGCAACTAAGCATTTTGGAGAGATACTTTTATTGTTGCATCAACATGTACAATAATCAATTCTTTTATTAAAAGTTTAAACACAGACACACCTATGTAAATAAGCCTATCAAGAGCACATGGCTAAGAGGAGGTTGATGACAGTAACAGGCTGTGGTAACGAGGGTACCAAAAATCTACATTTATAAATAAGAAAACTGAGCATAGAAAAAACTTGTGGTGAGGAATGATAAATACTAAAACAGATCAGCAAAATGCCTTTAATAGCCGATAAAAATACACCTTTCAGGCTGCTTTAGACACTTAATTATTCACTGATTCCCCCCCTTTTTTTATTTCTTAACCTGCTTTGAAACAACAGCACAGTGATGCAGTGACATGCAGAACTACATTGGCCTAGAAGTACACACTGTGCGGAACTAAAATCACTAAATGTAATTTCATAAGAACAATTAATCTAAACCAGTAAAAACCTAAATAGGTCTTGTAACAGAACTATTTAAAAAAAGACAGGGGTTGAGGGGGGTGTTTAAAAAAAAAAAATCACACTGACAGTAAAATCCTTGATTTTTACTGTGGTCTGAAATTTTCCACTTTATTCTTGTCTATTGTAATTGCATTTGGCTATTTTAATGTGAAACCTGGGTAAAAGAGCAAGGAGATAGAGGAGACACATGCACACAGTAATTAGCAAAAGCAAAAGAAGAGTAACAAATGAGCCTTAGAAGGAAAAAAAGTTTATAAGACATACAAATGCTTTGTTTCTTGAAAAGACTAGATAATTGGATACAAACCCTTTCATCTCTAGAGGCTGAATACAAGCTGGCTTAGTAGAAACAGGAATTGATAGCCACACGGTGGCTGTTTGCTGGTCTGCGAAGGGGATGGGTGGACTCTGGCAAGCTCCTAATTGCAAGTTTGCAACAGAAAACTCCCCCGAGTAGTGCAGCTCGGGGACCAACCCAGCAGTGTGCCTTTAAACCTGGGCCCTCCAAGTCAGGGCAGGAACACACCTGCAGTTCCACCACCGCGGCCTGGGTTCAGCCTTCCCTGAAAGCTCCTCTCTACCTCTGTGTACTAAGGGAGGTGATGAAATACTAAATACAGAACATAAATGAATGCCTAAACAAGAGTCAAGTGGAACTTGGCTAAAATTACTGCAGTTATTGTTAAGCTACATCTCACTCAGTGATCACAGAGAATCTGAAACTCTGAAGAACTTGCAAGTTCTTTGGATGCCACCGTGATGATTTCTATAGAGAAGTTTACTGATAAACTTCAATACGTTTTAGTATTTCAGTGTTAGACTCAGACTGCCAGTGCAACAATTAATTCTTTGTACAGAACTGCGTCCAAGTGCAACGCTCAATCAGTCCAGTTCTTCAGAGGACTCCTCGTTTCTACCAAGAACCTGGACTACAAACAGGCAAATGCAGTTGTAGCCCAAGCGGATTATTTATTTGCTGCCATGGGTTTTGATAGGGAAACAATTCACTGCCTTAGCAGAAAGAGAAGCCTGCTACCAGTTAAGTAACAAAGTAAAGTAGCAGCAGAGGCTGCGGCCAGGAAAAAGCAGAGCAGCCCCAGGTGCTGGGCAAGGCCAGAGGCTCTTGCTGACCTCCTGGAGCTGCCCCGTGGTACTGGGAAGCCAGGCTGGAACTGCTGAGCTGGAAGTGCAAGACAGAAGTAAGACCACAGCCAGTAAGCAAATCCATCCTTCTCAAGGCCAGATGTGTTGCCGGGAATCCTTAATCTGTCACTTATTTAACTGAAGGTATTATTAAACTTCATAACAGCTGCCTAACTAGCAAGTACAGACAGAAAGAGTAACCTGACTGGGATTTGAAGTCTCACCAGTCACTCCATTTGGGCCCTTTGATTTCAATGCCCTAATTTCTCTATCACTGAATAAGGCTCATAAGGTTTCTCCTCATGTAATAAAAGCTAAATCTTTTCTCCCACTTCTTGTTGCCCAGAAAAGCAGCAAGAACCTGAATTTTCCAGTCTAGCCTACACAGGGCACACTGGGAGCATACTGTGCTTTATAGTTCAAGAGTTACCACAATCAAATTGCAAACAAAAGGGAAAAAATAACAGAAGAACAGGAAAAAAACAAAGGATGTGAAGGAAGGAAAGATCATAGACTGTTTCCCACATTGTATTTGTACCCAAACTTTCCTCTGTTTTCAAACTTACTGTGCCTGAAATATATAAAATAATGTCACTAATACTGAAGATATACCAGGATAATAGCTCCAAGACTTATATCAGCCATGCCTTATCTTCACAACGTATGTTCAGAAAAAGAAATGTACTTAATCCCAAACTTTAAAGAAAAGAAAGAATGAAAAACAAGAAAGAAAACTTCCAATGTAACCAATTTTGTAATTAATTTTTTTTTTTTACCATGTTATTACATTCTTTCTTCTACATCACAGAACGGGAAAACATGGAAGAATAGAAACTTCACTATTTAAACTTTCCATGTATCTGTTGCTTAGGAACTTCTTTAGATCTATTTTCTACCTTGCTGTGTAAGGATTAACTTCAGCATCAACCATATATAAAGACTATATACAGTATTAAGTTTAAAAATTCTTTTTTGGCTGTAATATTAATACCACTTAACAGCACACACAGACAACACTGTACAAACATTAACTCTTTGTGCTGTTGTGATAACTCTGTGGGTAGAATAATAATATTGTGACTATATTCTGCTGCCACCGCATCCTTTCACAGACTACTTTTTAAAATCACAAACCAGTAATTTGCTACCACAGCTAATACAACATATTAATAATGCTGCATTTCATATGCTCCATCAAGGAAAAATAGGTCAATTACATTTGGACCTAAATGAACCTATGCTACTGCTTTTCAAGTGGAAGGACGCGACCAGAGAGGTTTGCTGGGTGATGCCTGCTCCACAGACTTCAAAACATTGTTACTGAATCATAAACACGCTTAAAAACACCACGAGAAAAAGCTCTTAGGCTAACACGAAATAACGGGCAATTCAGGTTTGCTCGAAGGCTCCAGAGCGTCACGGCGGGGGCTGCTGCCCGCGGCCGTCCCTGCCACGCCGGGGGCACGGAGGGGCTGGCCACGGCCGCATTCCCACCTCACGAGTGCCACCTCGTGGGGCCGCCAGCCCTCTCCGCCACAGCCCGCCCCTGACAACACAGCCCGGGTTTTACCCATCGGTGAAACGGCATGAAATAAAAAACAAGCTGGATTTCGGATGATTATAAAAGCGGCAATAAATATCAAGAAAAAAATGATGTCTACTTAGCAGAGCGAAGCTGATTCTCTCCCCTTATCCGTACGCAGCACACACACGCCGCTGTGGCTGAGGCATCGATCTGCTAACTCCGACACCCACCTTCGTTATTTCTTCAGAAGCCTTCTCAAAGTCCTGCACAGTTCTACAATAAAATCCTATTGTGCAGCTCGGATCCATTTTTTTGAATGACATCTTTTTGGGAGAAGGACAGTGGAATGACTGCAAGTTTCAAGATTAAAAAACATGAAATACATGGTTAAGGTTGAGAATGGCACAGACCTACGCATTTACTTTTTTCTTCCACCAACAGCTTTAACGTACAGTCCCCTGTATCACCTGAATTAAAACCCAGAACACACTTTTGAAGTTCTCTCTTCCACCCACCCCCCCCGCAAAGGTTCAAGTGATTCCACTCTTCTCCACATGTATCAAACCTCCTGCTGTTTATGCTGCATTCACCAAACTTGCACACAACATCATGTTAGTTTGATATCTGTCAAAGGTCTGCCGCTCCGAGCAGTACTTTATGAATATTCCCAAGGCAGAGGAGGTGAATGCTCTTCTGCAAATTGAATTTGTAACAGCTTTTGCACTATCTTACAATTACTGCTTTACTACCACCGCCCATTGCCCCTTTCCCTCCCCCAGCCTCTATAAAAGAGACATAATGGAATAAACCAACCTCATGCATTTTCCTTTAGTAAATGAAATGGGTTAAAAACCCCACAAAAACCACAAAAGCAAAACCATATTACAATAACTCACAAGTAGGAGAAAAACCAAACAACACGCCCTGCTTTATAAAGGTTTTTTTCCTAACGTGAAATCTCTTTTCATGACAGATGATGCTCTGACAGTGCTGTGAACTGATACCATCAGCAGCCATGCTTAAAAAACCCCCCTAAAATACAAAATCCCCTTCCCCACACTCCTCATGCTCCGTTTACGAGAGAAGAGAGAAGTATATGCTGTTTATTTCATATGGGCACTGTAGTTTTGGTGAAGCTCATTGTCTAATAACTGAAATGATTTCGCCACCCCTGGCTGTCTCTCAAAGGGAGTCCTCTTTATGCTGCTCCCAACACGCAGGACTACCCCGTCATCCTACCTCTAGTAAATCACTAGCAATCGTGCTACAGCTGCTCAGTAACAAATGCTAACACACCACGGCTGCAACGGAGGTACCACTGGACTCAAAGGCAGATTTTGTTTTTCACAAATTTGCCCCGACGATGGACATTCTGCAGTGAATATCCTGTGCTGTTTCCCTCCCCGTTTGCACGTGAGCTGCTCTGGCAGAGTGCGGGGCAGCACAGCCCCAGGACAGCTGACTGACACAACACTAACACCCCGACACAGCCAGGCAGGAGATTTCTTACCAACACCACCAGCTTTCCTCTATAGAAGAAAACTAACAACGGTTACAATCTAATTTGACTACAGCAACAGCAATCCCCGACAGCTAACATCAAGCACTCTGTAGGTTAGAAACCCATTTTATCTTTTTTTTTGCCAATCAGAAAAGTCAATCTACAGAAGACGACAGCACCAGTTACCTAATCTGAGGGTATCTGTCAGTGTAATACTTTTACATATTGAAGTATATTCTCCTTTACTTCTGATTGCAAACCTAAGAGAGGTAATTCTATTAAACCTCTGCTAAAAAAATACCAGCAAAGTGAGAAGCACTATTTCTACAAGATTGATTTTATCCACTGTTTTTTCTCCTAATTCTGTTCAAATTGTATACGAAGAAACTGTACTTTGAATATTCATTCCTGAGTCATCAAATACATAAATCGAACCCTGCCTTACCTATTTCAGCAACACTGTAACTTCAGTTGTGCTGTGCTGTTCAGGGCAGTAGTCCTAATACTACACAAATCACTGTACAACAAAGAGAAGTGGGTAGGCTTTTTTTTTTTTTTTCTTTCTTTTCTTCATTCCTCTAAACAAATGGATTCTGGAAGCCAATACAGAGTGGATTGATTTCCAACTTATTCTGGACAATTTGTCAATTTTGAAAATACTCCCTACAGATAAATCTAACAAGGAACTATCCACACTAAGAAAGCAATTTCTGTTTACTTTTGACATTTCTGGACAAAGATATAATACTATTAAATGCACTAAGCATTAAATTGCAATATATTTTCTGTCTGCAGAAAAGCATTAGGATGTGATCAAACCAAGCTGGCAGCTCGCATACCTTCAAAATACATTTTAAAACATAATTATTATTATTATTTGGAAATTCGTACTAATGCCAGGCTCCAGCACAATCTGGAGGATTAGTCGTGGGAACCGAAACCAGAAATATGTGTATTTTTTGTAGCTTGGCTACTGAGCTACGATGTGACCTTAAGGAAGTCACTTCAGCTCTGCTTCTTTGTGCTCTTCCCATCTTTTGTCTGGCTTACCCAATTAAACTGTAAAATCTTCAGAGAAGGCACCGTATTTTACTACAGTTATTAGCATAAAGGGGCAAGGATCTTTGTTCTAATCTCTAGCTGCTGCCACAATACAAATAGGTAGAGCTGGAACTCACCAACTCTTCTTCCAAATAGCTCAACAGGGTGTATCTAAATGCATCTCTAAAAATAAGGGAAGCTTCTGTCTAGGGTATTTTCCTTTTTGCTGCTATTTTCCTTTTTTTTTTTTTTTAGTTCAGAATCTTTTCATTCTCTAGAGAATCTTCTATATTATATGTCACACTAATTAAAGCATCTTGTTAAGCATAAATACTGAAAAATATGTAGTGTTTGCCTTAAGTTGGCCCTAGGATTTGGCAATAGCCCTGTGTAAGCCCTCTGATATACATAAGTACTATTTGATGGTATTTTGCTTAAGGCATTGTGATCAACTTCAACCTACATTAACTGATCTTTCTTTTCATGATAACAATAGACAGGACCACTTTAGTTCACTCTGCCGTTCTCAGTTGAACTTAACTCTTAGCTGCTATACAAAACAGAAGCTGTGAAGATACATAACTTCATTGCACACCATTTGATTTACATTCAAACTGTAAACAGTCAATTTAAGATCACCTACTCAGTTCCTGTGTGTAAGAGTTGTGCCTGACTCGCTTCACTGTTTACAGAACTTTACTGCAAACCTTTAACAATTCCACACTAGCTAGTATTGTGGAGGTGATGGAGACTTATCCATATTCCTCTTCCTTATTTAAATGCAGTATGTTGTTTCTGAAGCTGTGTTTCCATGTTTAGGAGGACTTAACTTTACAGAACTCAGTGGCAGGAGGAACTACTACTGTTAACCAACTCTGTTCTAGAGCAGCTGATGCTAGGCAGTGGATGCACTCAGGGAGTGTTTCTACACTGAATGAAGAGTTGCTCCGAAGAGGCTGGAAGTTCATGTGGAAGCTGAACCCAAGGTCAAGAAGGATAGTTCGCACAGATGGCACCGAGTACTTCTACTGTGAGTACTGTGGCTATTGAACACTTACGTCTGCAACTGATAACATTGTCTCATGGTACTTGTAAATTGAGTCCTTTAATAACTTCCTTTAGCTCTATCTATTTTGGGGTTAAAGAAAATGGAAAACACTATTGTGAAAAACACTACTGTGAAAAAAACAAGCATGATTTTTAAGACTGAGGCATAGCCTGAAAAGATGAAGCCACTACATCTAGATGAACCCAGAAAGTCACAGTCTAGAAAGGGGTTAGGGGGGAAAGAAAGACCAAAAGCAGTACCTATACCTTCAGACCTGTCAGCTTCTGGGAAAGCACTATTCCATAAAAATAATTTGATTAAAAAAATAATAGAACTTGTTAAATGGTTCAGAAGACTTGAATAAAATTAATCTACTCAACCACAATCATCACTGATAAGCCTCAAAAATTTATACTTGTATGAAGCTAAAGAAGTGACCTGCAAAGCTGTCAGCAGCAAAAGTTACGTTTAAAATGTTAACCACTTACTCCAGTATAGAAATAGTATGAGTTCCTGCATAAAGAAGCAGCACGTAAACCCATAGGAACTCTGATTCCAAACTGACAACAGACTCCTACTATTGAATGCTACAGTAATTCTCTCCATGATGTTGACCGCAAATTGAATTTAGAATAAAATAAAATTGACCAAAAAGACAAACTAACAAAACCAAATCCAAATAACTCAGGTTTAACATCTCCACACATTGTCTATTTTCTTTGGTGGAAAATTACTTAAATGATCATATGTTACAAGGTTTTCTAATGATTAAAAAGAAACAGATGAAGATTAATGAAGTAAAAATTAAAACCCCATCTTGAGTTTTTAACCTCTGGTCATTTTTGTTGATTATAGGCCTATAAAGGAGGGCAGGACTTTGATAAATAACATGTAACTGTAAAACCATAAAGATGCAGCTAGCTAGAACATCTCTAAATAATTAGCGTTTGATTCATACGGGAAGAAAACAGTGCCAGGTCTATATCCATACTACCTCAAGAGGGAAATCCTTTATGCTGACATCTACAAAAGATTGGCAGTAATGAGGATCCATGTAAATCAAACTGTCATCTACAAGGACAAAACAGAAGACAAGTAATTCAAAAAACACCTTATTATTACACTGCTTACAATCCAATTTCTATGCAGAACAGCTGAAAAAAAAGCCAGCAAGTAACTGCTTGCCAGGCTGATATTCATTGACTGAAGCATAGGTTTTTGCAGGACAGATTAACTTTTGCATAATCAAATATGCTTGTATAAGCAGAATTTTTATAAAGTGATGAGACTGTCATTTAATTTTTGGTGATAAAATTACTTTTACAAACACACAATTATATTCTGGAGTTTGCATATGAAAAATGCATTGTGCTACTTCATTCTGACAGGAAGAATATATTGCTTGTCATTTAAGCATCAACTAACACCACTTAAACTAGTAAAAAGTAAATACGTAAATAAGAACTGCCAGATAGTAACAGCAAACGCTCCTGAAGTTTTGTGAAACAGATAAATTATGCCTTGTTTATGCAACAGCGGAAATTAAATGTACATTTTACAGAATCCAATTACTCTGTGGGGTAAATGACAAATGACTGGACTTGGGTAGATATGATGAATTAATAAGGTACTCATTTTGCTATTTTAATCATGCTGTTTCCCACTGGTTTGATATTAACTTCCTAACTCTTAAAGAAAAATATTGAAGAGACATAACATATTAAAACACTAACCTTGAAATCCAGCAAAGTAATACGACTGCTTGGGCTTGCCACCAATAATACCAACACAATACTCAAGGCTTAAAATTCCCTACAATGAGAACATTAAATAATTAGGACAGTGTTAATCAGAGTAAGTATTGAACTGAATTAAAATTAAAATCTCTGCTCTTTCTTTACTGCTTTTAGGCAAATAGCTTTTTTTTTTTTTTTTAAAGACTGACTTCATGACGTTCTGGGGCTTGACTCAATTTTTAGAAGCTTAGAATTGACCAAAGTGAAAACATTCCACCAGATATTCCAGAGGTAGTCCTCCCTTTTCATGAGATGCCCACCCATTGAGAGAATTGGCAGTATCATTTTAGGGGAGGAGACAAAGCACGTCATGCAAGTTGAGCACAGGTTGCTTAGTCAAAAAGATATCCCAAGTATTCAGATTTACAGAGTTCATAGACATTTACATTCGGTGGCCTTGGGGGCCCTCTTCTTTATGTATTCAAATGTCTAGAGTATGAACTTTTACATCATCGGGAGAAACGCCAGTTGAAGCAAGAGTAATTACAAGATACAGCTCTAAAAACAGCAGCCCAAAATAAGGGACGAGTGCGAGACACACAACAGACAAGCCCCATAAATCTTACTGGACATTGACTGTGAGGGTAGAGGAATCAGAGCCATCAGTATGTAGCAACTTTGAGAAAGAGCCATTACAAATACACCGTATGGGACTTCCAGAGGGACAGGGGGTGAGATACAGAAGTCATTTCAGTCTGGAGGTGTAAAGAAAGAAAGAAATCTACTCCTCCAGCCAGGGCAAAGCGAGGAGCCACTATGGGCAGAAAGAGCTGGGAGACCAGCTCTGCGCTACGGTCACACCAGCACTGCCAGGGCATCTCTGTTCATTCAGGTCGAAGAGTTGGGTTCTGTGATCCACGTGTCTGTGCTGGCACACAAACCCAGCAGACTTATCACTACATCATCAAATGTTGATTTTCTGCATATATCTCCTAGTATTAGGGAGAGGGATTTACCCGTATACATGCCATTTTGCCAAGGTGAGAACAGTGCAGTAGCTTAGCTGACTGAAATTCCTCTATCACCCACAAGCTCTGGGTGCAGTCACAGACGATGGACACCAAAGAAATCACCCTTGATCATTTTCTATTAAAAGAAGTATCTAGCAAAGAAGTGGAAGAAGGTGCAGAGGACCTTCCTCCCTCTCCCTTCAATATATTTCTACTCTTTCTGCTTTCGTGAGGTTCTGTTTCTCACCAGAGCTCATTAGGATTTTTGTGAATATTCAGTCTTGGCTTAACACAGTTCTCCATTAGTTATCCCACCAACTCCAGCGGGAGCTGAATTTTGCCAGCTTGAGCACTTCAGAAAGCTGAGTCCAACTGTTCTAATGAAACTGAAGCCCAAGACCATTAAATACTTTGAAAACTGAACAGCCTTTAAATGAGCATAAATCACAGTGGTTTTCTTGTGGCACTAGACAAGTGTTGGGTCCAAAGACTTGGATGCTGGCCCAAACTTGGGACAGCAATCCAGAAGACTATCAGTTGAGCTAAAGTGAAATCTCCATTATCTGGCAGTTATATCTATATCCTCCCCTCTAAGAGACCAACGATCAAAAGCATAACTGTTACATTATCATTGTGTAAGTAGGGAAAATTTCTCTCAACAAAATTATTGATATTTCATGGACTAATAAAACCAAAGCTTCTTGAGATAAAGAATCTTGAGATTCTCTGCTTAGACAATGACAAAGTAGTGCAACACAACAAAAACTATTGTACTCCTCACCTGAGATGCTAATAAAGTCAACTTCAGCATGATTTATAAGGGTTAAGAGAAAGGCTGCTTATTTAAAATATGAATGAGAAGGCTTTTTTAGAAAATGCTCCTCCATGGCTGAGCATTACAGAGCATTTAGGCAGAGCAGAGGCAAAGGCTGAAACAGCTAAGGAGGACACATCCTCTGCCAGTGAAACAGAAAGGGAGCGAAGCTTCTTAGAGTTATGAATAACTGTTTAATCTATGGGAATTTTCTTGTAAAAGTGAATGATAAAAAAAAAAAAAAAAAAAAAAAAAAGTTAAGAGACTCTCAGATTTTTTTCATGCTACTACATTATGGTTTTTTAAAAATTAAAGACAGATAAACAGCAGCATGGAAAATGATAAAGCAGCAGGGCTAGGAGAACAGTCTCTCCCCTAAGAGAGTGATCAAGCTCGAGAGCTTTCAAGTCGTGATGTCTGAATCTCAAAGAGAACAAACATCTGTATATATCGAGAACCCCTTTGTCTACATAATCTCAATTTTGTGGATCCATTTTTGAGTTTATTTTTTTTTCCTTTAGAGCTCTGTTGTTATTCTTGTGCTCAAGAGGCAGGATTACAGTAACATCTTAAAGTGCTAGCCCCATGTGCAGAACCTTTGCTGAAAACAGAGGACAGCATAGACCTTCCTCCCCTTTGCTTTGAGTTTTAATTTTTTCCAGTTTGTTTTCATCTGTGGTGACTGCTTGCTACTCCAGCATCACTGTCCTCAGAAACATTCATCCTAATGTCCAGACAGTGAAAACACACCTGAAGTAGAAACTAAAGAGATCAAAAATTTCTATCCCCTCTATTAAGGGCAAGAAAAAGACAAAAGAAAATGAGAACAGACAAAAGCAACAACCTTAAACCACCTGGCATTTAAGAAAAAAAAAAAAACAGAAAAAGGAATTTGGTATATTTATATTTTAAAATGCTGACTGATACTTAATACAGCACAACTCTAATAGCATATGTCATGAAATTACCATTTGTAATTTGAGCCACTGCATTAACATCTTTTCAGGTAGCTACTTTAGGAGTAAGACAGTTACCACGGCTTTACCAAGGGACATCATGTGCTCTGCAATTATGTCTGATCTTGTAATAGGGAAATTTAAAATCTGTAAAGTCAAACTTTACAACCTTCAACTGTAAAATCACCACCACACATTTAATAGGTAGAAGATTACCATCATGAAGTCGCTTTTCATATCACCTAGTGCTACTATGTGAAAAATGGTTGAACTCTCATTTCGTACCTTTACAAACTCCAAGTAGTCCATGTTTGTTCTCTCTCCACCGAGTCTCACAGGAACTAATATAATTACAGCTTTTGTGTCTGCTTTTCCAGAATCCATAAAAGAACACTGTCTGTCAATAACATCTGAACTGTAGACTGAAAGGAGACACACAGAAATATTCAGATTTAAAATATGACTGCTAGCTCTTCTAAAGACACACCTACAAACAACATGTCATCACTTAGTTTGACAAATTAAAACTGCAGTCCTTCAAAATCTTACTGTCCTCCTGAAATACAACTCCTGAGTGACTCTGATGAAAAACAGTGTTATGCCTCCTTATTTTCAGCAATGTTTTGTAGAATGGTAATCTGCTGCTGCTGAGATAAGATACATTGCCAAGGAAATGCAGAAGGGGTAGGCTAGGAGAAAGCCAATAAATATTTATTCACTTCATATAAACTACTTCTAAAAGGAGTAATTTAAAACTTGAAAGCCCACAACTAACAGAAACATCCACATGTTAAAGGAAAAAAGACAATAGTTGATTTTAATAAATACTCAAGTTCACTGTCTAAAGTTAACACAGTCATTGAAAATGAGTGAAAAAAAATAATGTAGTATTATTGCTTATTCCCTCCAAACTGAGAGAGATGCAAAAATCATCAGCAGAACAAAGAAGTGAAAAATTAATAGAATTTTAAGTTTCCACTGTCATTGTAAGTCAGGTGAAACTGGTTTGCAGTGTATGATTAAACAGTGTCTCTTTAAAACCAGTTTGATTGATTACCCAGGGATGTTGGTCTCGTCTGTCCTACCCCAAGATCAGTTATGACATAACTAAAATTTCTGGCAGCTAAACATGGCTACTGAAGTAATACATTGTGCTTAGATTTGAAAGACTATAGTCATTAGTGTAAAGTTTCACTGCACGTTTAGTTTATCTTGTCATCATTTTCTGCTCCTGAACATCCAGAGCTCTAAGCTCCTCTGCCCATTATTGATTATTTAAAATGCCACGCTGGAGCAGAGGAAAGGTTACCACTGTCTGGGGTTCACTATCCTGCTCACATCTTTGAACTCCAAGCGAAAATGACTTCTTACTAGTCTAAGAGACTGGTGCAGTGGTTTTTTTCTGCTAGAAAAATGGGTAAAAGAGAATCCCGTGATGCAAAAGACAAATAAAATGTAACTAACAAATCTAACTGCAGTATTTTTCGGTTGTTTAGTTAGTTTTGGGGAGTTATTTTTAGTAAGATATGAAAGTTCTTACTAGCTTATTGCTACAACAACATTGATGCGAGTACAAAACAGGTTATTAACTGTTTTAAATCCAAAAAGTTACAACGGGCAGATTGTAAGGAAAGGTTATCTCCGTGGATTTGGAATTCCACTCTAAGATACCACACAAGCAATGTACAAAGCTTTCAAGTCGTGATGTCTGAATCTCAAAGAGAACAAACATCCGTATATATCGAGAACCCCTTTGTCTACGTAATCTCAATTTTGTGGATCCATTTATGAGTTTATTTTTTTTTCCTTTAGAGCTCTATTTTTAAGTGCTTACTGAAAGGCATAAAAATATATCTAAAATGTTTGTAAAAATCTACATAATCACAACATTTACCTGTACAATCCTGAGCAACATAGACTGTTACTCCTTGTAGCTCAGGGTCTCTCGCTTCTTCAACAGCTTTTCTAAGTACAAACACAAAACTATTTAACTCATCTCTGATTTTAAAGAAATTAACAGTAAATAAACATAAGTTATTTGATTTTTAGAAACAGGTTGGTTTTAATTGTTTGTTAGGGTTTTTTGTTCTGTTTTGGAGGGGGGTTTTGTTCTTTTTTTACAATTCAAGACACCTTCCATTCCTGATAAATACAGATGGGGGAGATTTTTGTTTGTTTTGTTTTTAAACACTGGATACCAAGATCCACTGTATATGGCAACATGTTTTTCCCAAGCAAGGATGACAATGTCTGGCTATTTAGAAAAAACAATGAAACCCACAAAAAAAGCCCAAAGAAGTACATTAACATACAATGAAATTCATATTCACTACCTAATTTCTTTCTGTTGACAACAATTTTCTGTCATGTATATTGGCATAATAAAGGCTGCATTTACTGATAAAAATCCCATTTTCAACTGGATAGATCTCTTCAGTTGACCTCAGTTCACATAACTAGCCACAAATTAGCACCTCATGTCTATGGAAATAAAGGCTAGCGCATAGAAAGCTGTAAGGTTTCTCCAAAACTTTCAAAAAGATAATTGCAATATTAGGCTATTCTCAAAAGAGTAAGAGTAATGGACCTAAAACTAAAAAGAAAATATATGTCGGTAGTCTGAAACATAATCGTCAATCAAGGACAACATTTTTAAAGAAATTAAACTGTTCAAAATAGAAGATTAGCCTTTGACTTCAATACACGCTTGCATTAAATGGTCACTATCCCTTTATTTCACAATATATTTTGAGGAATCATTTAATACAGTCGTTCTCAAGTTATGAGCGAGCTATACATTGTTAGTACTGCTGTAAGAGAGAAAGGAGAAACAGGAAAGGAAACCTTTGCAGTGTTGGAAATCACCCATAGTGTTGGATGTAATTCCTGACCACCACCACCCCCCCCACCCCAGCTCCCACAACGTAAACAGGCTACAGCAATTTAAAGCAAGCAAGAAGAATTCTGGCAGTTTCTATCATCAGAAAAAAACAGAACACATAAATAATGCTAACTTCTCACATCACTGTATGCATTTGCACGTATGCACACATATACGCCTGATTATTTCAGCACAGATTCACTCAACATTAATATACTTTTATATTAAATATCAGATTCTTTTATACTAAATATCAAATTCTCCTCTTCCCATAGATAAACATAAGAACTTTGGCTTCTGCTGCTTAAATGACTTGTTAGTGATTCAGCGTACAGGTAAACTAGAATCCACTGAGAACACAATCATGTAATATGGCTGTTAACAAAAGACAAAACAAAATCTGTAATATTCCAAGAAATGGCATATAAAGGTACATAGTATGGAGAAATTTGACTTTCGACTTTTTTTTTTAACCACACTGAATGTCACAGACCCTTTACTTTTACTGTGATATAATTATAATATTAATAGTCCCATACATTTACAGTTTCACAAGAATTTGATGTGTGCAAAGAAATGCTGAAAACATCAATTTTAGCTCTGACATTTCATTACACTATCAGTACATTACAGCCCCCAGGTTACAGTATAAAAAAAAAAAAAATCTATAATGTTATGCATGTTCCAAGGTTGAAAGAGTGGTTAGTTTTTAGAACATTTCATTAAATGCAGCTCTACTTAAAAGCCTAGGTTTGGGAGAGATACGTGGGACTTCTACTGCCCAAAGGACAGGAAAACAGGAATGTTGTTTTTTTTCCTGAAATAAAATTGAACAAAAGCTCAGAGTCAGCTCACGCACCTACTGCTGTCTCCCTCCCTGTCTCTGAAAAATCTCTAGAATTGCTACTAATACGGACATTTTACAAAGCCAATAATGAACAGTTAGATGCTCACTTAAGCTGAAGTAATCTCATGACACTTTGAAATGCTTCTCCTGTAATGTGTAAGGCACAGTAACAACAAAGAATAAAGGTATTTTTACCTTAAAATGTGTGCAACAACTGCAGGCCCATACCAATCTCCAGCAATTTTCCCAGACTTCTTTCCATATTCTATTAGCTGATGTAAGCCAAAAGCTGACAGCGGAGAGTCGCCAAACCAAGAAATTATTTTTCTATGATAAACATCATTTCTCATTTCATTGTCATCACAGTTTCTCTTTAACGTTCCCTGATGATGATTTGACAGGATCTTGGGTTCTCTCTCTGCTGTAAGCGATGCTTCGAATGATGCTGTCAGCTTTTTCACTGTGTGGGCTGTCCATGATTCAGAATCTGAATTGTCAATGTCCAACGCATCTGGCCAGACCCAGGCTGCAGCAAGAAATTTTAAGATTGCATATTAGGCTTAATATTAACTTTTTGGCGTAATTTGCAAAGCACATTCATTTCTCCCCAATGTTCCTTAAACTAATAGTATGTACTCCACATGTTGAGATGTAGATGTCAGTGTTAAAATCTAAACAAAGAATTCCAGTGGAGTATGATTTGCTTTGATTTTCTGCTGAATGATAGGTGAAACAAAACACTACTAATGGTACATTTGTTAGCAATTTATTGTATCCAAGAGAGTGGTCAGCCTCCATGATCCCAGTCAGTTAAATACACAAGATATACCTGATTACAAGGCAGAGATTAGAACTATCATATTAAAAATATGAAAGTTGGCTATTTATTACCATCTAAAAAGTTTTATGCACACCAGACAAGAAGTTTCAAAAGCTGTTTTTAATTCTTCTAGTTTGTCAGTTATCAAAAGAAAAACAACCCAAAGCAAGCCTCAGGCATTATTCATGTAAAAACAAACACTTCTTCCTGGCAAAATGTCAAAGCAGATCAGCAGAAAAACAGACAAAATTCCTTTTGTGAATTCTTTACATAAATTATGAGACAAACTTGTTGAAATATTATTCAGCACAGTACTACTGTCTGCATTTCTAGCTAAAGGTTTCTCCAGGTGTTCTCCACCCAGCGTTCCCCTTCAGTGTAACGTGTGTGGTTCAGCACATCTAGGGAACAGCAGTGCTGCCCTTGTCAGATGACTGAGGCTCTCCCACAAGTTCAAACAACAACTTGCAAACACAGAGCGCGTGAGGAAAGCTCCGCAACACAGCGAGCACACTGCTAGAGCAGAACACAGCCTGAAGGCCTCAAATGAACCTGCCAGAGGGCTGCCACGTGCAAGCAGGAACAAACCCTACGGATGAGGGGCTTTTGCTCAGCGAGCCAGGCCTGGGTAAACTCCAGGAGGTTCAGAAAACCACCATTACAGCAGCCAGAGGAACCTTTTTCTGACACAGAGCAAGAACTGCAGCCCTCCTCAGAGTTGCTACTAAAGTACCTATGTAAAAGTCTTTGAGAAACAAAGGAGAAGCGCAGAGGCAACTATATTTTAATTCTAAAACCTAACTCAGGGCTCCAGTAATGTCACAAGCATTGCTGGTAATGGCCGTAATCCATATCACTCACTCTTTAGTGCAACAACCACCCCACATCAATGGCTCTTACCACAGGTGGCACCTCTCTCTGAAACCTCGGGCCAGTTTTTCATTGCAGACCCAGGCAGATGCACGTGTAAGCTCCACGTAGCATCACAGGCCTTGCTATTCCTCTACTGTGAGCTTCAAATTTAAGTCAGTGTCTTAAGCACTGGCATTTCCAAGTAAAACTTAACCTGTACCTTAATATTTAAAATAAAAACTCTTTACAAAATCATTCAGCAGTATCTGGAACATTCCACATAGCAGTGGAAGTGCAAGTATTCCAGCTAGTAGACTGCAGTCAAGTTTTGCTTTGTAACAGAAACAATACCATTAAACCATAATGAAAACATCCCTGGGAAAACAGTAAACAGCAATGAAAAACTTCATGTAAACACTTAAATATGTTTCAAAAGCTACCCAGACCTCATAAAAAGCTTTTCAAAAGATAATTCACCAGCTGTCAGAAGACAAGGCGATGATAAAAGCAGTCCAGAAAGACCATCCACATTCTGTTTTTCTATGCATTTGGATTGCCACAGAAACACTAGCACTCTGGAATCACCAAATAGCTTTCCAGATTAGGATGCATGGGGAACAGCGCAAGGAATTCTTTGTAACCACGGATTTTAAAGATATAAACCTGAGGCTTTTTTGTCTGGGGTTACTGCAGAATGAGCTGTTATGCATACCTACTCAGGTAGTCTTCTGATCAATTTTTTTTTTAAATGTACATATTACAAAAGTTATATTTAAGGGATCTGCGTTCTCAGCAGAAGTATTTTCATAGGTTTTAATATCTACAGTCAGTTGAAAAGGATATTGCATGATTTATGCCTTAAATATCTACAGCAAAAGGAACATTCAGTAAGCCAGTCTGACTGTTGGGCCATGCCACACAGCCAAGAAAGATAAGTTTGTGATGCAGCTGGTTTGGGACTATGTTCACAGTTTACATCATATTTGCACAGTAAGTGTAAACTATTATCAAAACAGGCTTTCACAACTATCTTCTATGAAAGTATTCCTGGGCTCCAACAAATGGCTGAGTAAACAATACACTGTATTCTCTCTAACATGCCTGAGTGGCTTCAGGCCCATGTCTTGGATCATTCTGACAACAAGAAGTGGTGACAGAGGACATGAGCGACTGTTTGAAAGGAGCAATGTGGTAGATTATGAAAGGGATTGACAAGAAAAGGGGGTAAACTATGACAACCAAAAATACCTCTACGCAGGACATGGCTGAACTTGGAAGAACGGAGAGGATGTGCACTCTCAGCCTGTGAAAGCAGAAAGTGTTCCCAGGCTCCTAAAGCTGGTTCTGTGACTGAGAGTATTTTGAGATAGACGGTAATAAGAAAAAAAGGGAAGTTCCTCAGTAAGTACATGGGGGGAAGGGAGGAAATGAAATGGTGAAAATTTCAACACAAGGAATGATGCATCGAAGTTAGATTAGAATCCTTCTATTAACTCAATATATTAATACTAGAAGAAATTGAATAATGCACAACTTTAAAACTGATAAAAGAACATCACTTTTGCCATAGCTCACAGCTACGGGCTGTGGAATTAATTTCCACATTTTGAGTTCAAGGAACAAGGAAGTTTCAAGACAACTGGCCACCTGCATGGGTAATAACAATACCCAGGTATGGGATCACAAATTTTGTGTAGTATTTTACTTCACAGTTAGCTTCTGTGGAGTTGCCAGGATCTCCCTTTGACAAACTTTGGTATTGCCTTTCTCAGAAATGGAGGAGTAGGACAGCTAGATGACTGCTCTGACACAATGTAACAATTCCAATATTAACAAGGAGTCCAGAATCAAAACCCGTTTGCACTTTTGATGTGGGCTACATAAAGAGCATCACCATGCCGGATAGAGATCTTCTCTCATAACTTACCTCTACCAAGAAAGTGAAGCATAAGACCTTGAGCCAGCAGCATCTGACCCGTTCTCAGTGTGCAACCCCAACCACAGTCTGTGGTTAACGCAGACCCCTTTATCTGAGGAAACTCCTCTCTGTAAGTCAGCCATATTCTAGAAATAAAATCTTTACGAAACTCCTCAACATTTCCTGAAATCTCTGTGTTGATTTTATCAAAATTGGACCCATCTGTAGAGAGTTCACCAGATTCTGCAAGGCAAAGCACAATTTCATTTGTAACTTGGTATGGTACTTCTGTTATTAGAAGGAAAGGGAAAAAACATACAACTAGTCTGTTAGAAAAACAGGGCAAACTTGCAGAAAGTAACAATCACTTCAAATACAAGAAAGGAAAATCGAAAGGCAAACTAACAAATGTGCCAGCTGGGGGGAAAGAAAAAAAAATGCAGCCAACGTTACTGTGCCAATGGAATCACTGACTTGCAACTGCTTAATTCACCTAAATGTAAATGGCCAAATAGAGAGAGATTCTTAGAAAACTGCATTCTGCAAAACGATAACAAAAGTCTTGGCGTAGTGACTCTTTGTACAGGTGGTGTTGGACATTTAAATGAGTATTTTCTAAGCTTTTCGTATTCACATTTTGAATTCGGTAATTGTTAATGACGGTCTTTCTAGAAGATTAAAACTGTATCTACAGAGCTCCTGCCAAATAAGACTGGAATGAGTAAAGTGCTACATACATACCGTTGGTTTTGAAGTGGTAACATTTTCCCAGCAGAAAGACTGGAGAGTTTCTACTGAAGTAAGTTTTTGTTTTCAACACCCAACCTAAAATAGATGCAAAACAAATGCAAATTTCTGACTAAAGTATTCCAAAAGGGAATTGCTAATAACATCTGGTCAAGCCAGAGGTAAACCCTTGAAAGGGGAATATAGAGAAAATGTACTGAAATTGGGTTTTGCTTTCATAAATGACAAAAAGTTTAATAGCTCTACAAAACACAGAGTTCTGGTTTAAAAGTAACGATGTTACCCATGTATGAGTGTTTGAACCTTAATACAATGGTACTACTCCGCAGAAATTGTTAGGATTAATTAAACATACTTTCTCAAAAAATTAAATTGCAGCTTTCAGACACAAAAGGGGTAGTAGTAGTGCTGGACAAATTCAAAGGGCCAGAATTCAGTTTTTAGGTTTTGACAGTGTCCCCAGGCAGTAGCTTTTTCACTTCAGTCTTAATTCTACAGTCTTTTATATCCTAAATCCACAGAGAGTTTCTTGAACTTTTCCTATCACATAGAGGGTGGAATGACTACTATTCCCCTTCAGCCATGTGGTAGCCTTAAAGAAAGGAGATGAAAAGCATCTTTTCATCTTGCCAGACATCTCCAAGGCTCAGTTATTAGAATTAACAAAATTTATCAGCAATCTGGTGGTAAATCTGAGTGACCTCAGTCTTAGAAGGAAAGAAGAAAAATTAAAGCTCAGGACAGATTAGCAAAGGGCACACTTGAAAACGTGGTTGCTTACAAAAAAATTACTGATGTTCAGCTGTGGAAAAATGTGTTACTCAAGTGTGTGAAGTGCACTCTTCAGTGCAGTTTGTATTTTATGCACCATCCTATTTTTTCCAGAAAAGTACATTAAAAAAAAAAAAAATCTTTGTGCAGATGATTCCATAATACCCCTATTTAAAGTCTATGCAAATTTAGTGTCATTTACATAATGTATTTACTGTTTTCAAAATAACTAGTTTTAAAAGGAATTACGCAAACTTTTTTGAAAAATGAAAAGCTACAGGAGTTTGTTTGCTTGGGCTGTTTATAGTATCAAAGTAAAAACGGTTTCAAGTGCCATCTTGCATTTTTATTATTAATATTATTTAAGTTTCTGAATCATGATCCCATTTATGTCACCAAGAAACATTCCATTCCTTTCAGTGGAGACAGGATCTTACCATCCACTGCTTCACTTACTGTATTTCATGTTGTGCCATGCAGACATAAACTTTGATTTTATCTTTTCTACTTCATCTGTCCCCGTGGCCTCCATATTCAAATTCTAGAGAAAAAGCCATCGCTGTCTTGTAAGACGTTCAATTCTGCTACTGTAAAAATAAAAATACAAACATATCCATGGGCACTGAGAACACAGGGTATAGTATCACCACCAGCCCACCTGGGTACTTAAGCCTAACATGACCAGAAACAGCAATAAACTTGCAGAATCTTTCACTACCGGGGACTGAGAAGCAATCGCATGTTCCATGAATAAGTAATAAAATAATTTAATTCCAAATATACACCAATAAAATTACTACACAAAGCGAAATAAAATATAATGTTCTCCAACAGCTCTCTATTGCCCAACAAACTGATCTAGAGCGTATAACCTGCGCTGGCATACTCATTCTAATTGGCAGTGAAACGAAGAGCTATGATGCATTTCACTAAACAGAATAGATGCTATTCTCTTCTGCTGAACAGAATACAATAAGCACTTTTTTCCCCCCCACATCAGGGGTTCTGAGCACCAGTAAACAAATCTTGGTTTTAAAAACAGCAGTAGCTTCAGACTTCTCATCAAGAATTTTCTAAGCCAAGTTTACAGGCATTGGAGGAATTGAAAAACAAAGTGCAAGATGTTTTGCTGTCTGTGTGCAAGGCACAAAATGCATAGTACTGAAGGTGTGTGTAGTAACAGTGACATAATTTTGTACAGAATTAACTTGCTAGAGGTAACAGCAGAAGATGACTAGAATATTGTCATAAAATCCGTGTTTACTTTACATCTAATTATCACTTGCAGTGCAAAAAAGGCTCCCTTCCGACTTGATCATGTTGTCTACAATATTCCAGCTGGATTGTATGAAAGAGTTGTAAAATGGTGGTAAAAAACACTACAATGCAGATTAATTTTGAAAAAAAAGGTTATAAATTTTCCAAGGTGGGGGCGGGAGGGAATGCACTCTTACTGACACAAGATGGACTTGACCTTAAAAGCAACCTAAACTGGTAATACAGCAGGAATATATACTACCTTTATCCCTGTTTCTGAGAAATCTGAGAATATGGGACACAAGTCCCTTCACAGTCCACCTGCGCCATTTGTAGCAGGAAGTGTGCCATTAATTGAGCTTCCTTCACTGCATGTATTCTGTTAATGGTTAACTTTAAAATCAGTTCAGACGGGAGGTTTTGTTGACGATAGTTAGTAGCCCAAACCCTTGCATAGATGGCTGAAAAATTAAGAGCTCCTGCTTCAACAGGAGCTCTTGTGGAACATCAACAGTTGATTGAGTGGTACACCCCTGCAACCTTCACTGAATTGTTAGCGAAATTGTGGTAACATCTGATGATGACGTGAACAAAAGTAAACTATCTCATTTAATTGATAAACTTGGACCAGAAGCACACACCACGACTGATGCTGTGCATAACCTCCTTTAAAAGGAGAATCTAGAACCATATTCACTTTTCCACGTGTTACTGTCCACTGAATTGGGATCAAAAGCAGGACAAAGACTATAAACCATGTTACTTCTTTCCACTGGGAGCATATTAACCACTGATAGCGTAATTGAAGACAGTGTGAAGATGTCAGGGTGCCAGAGTTTTCAGAGCCTGAGGAGACTCACATTGTTTCTGGGATCAGTACATGGGGCAAGGAAATCAGTAGCCTACTGCTCAAGCCACCCCTAGCATGTTTTTGCACTATTCCATTGTATTATTTCTTAAAAGTCTGTCTTTTTGATGGAACAAGAGGCAACACAAGCTCACAAACATGTGGGAAGACTGACTGGTTTTTGCTAGTGAAAATAACAAATGGCCACAACCCTACTACGATTAGCCTTGTGTTAAACTGGGGTTTTGTAGGGGAAGGGAAAGACAATTTAAGGTTGGGTTTTAATTTCCCGTCTATTTACCTCCCTCTTTTTTCTTTAGGAAAAACAAGGAGAGACTGTATCACTGACTCTAGATGGCAAAGTCCGTAAGATGAACTTCTTCAAGAGATGTGTTTGGTCCAGCCTGCCCTCACATGATCAGTCAGCAACGCGCATTTACGCAGAGGCCACTGATTGCCTAAAAGCCAATATCTGTAAAAGCTCCCTCTGGCTAAAATTAGAAATGAAACAAACTCTACTGCTCCAAAAGGGCCCAGAGGAAAAATTATTGAAATGAGAGAGTAGCTCATTTTCCTTTAAAAGACAATGGTCATCGCGACACATTTTTCTTTCATCCAGTTACATTTCTTCCCTAGCATTATGCTAAAGATGTGGAAAGACTTCTAAGAAGAATGCTAACACAAAACAGGCACATTTATTCCACTGGAAAAACGCCAGCTCTTCCCATCAATGTAAGAAGGCATCAGTAATTGTTCCACTGAAATTAATGGAACAGCATCAGGAGGAGGTCACAGGGAATACAGATTCAAGCCCAACAGGCACAATGCAACCCCCGTTATTAAATCGAAAGCTAATGGTTTTATAGTGAAGTTGTCTCACTTAAGAAGTTATCTAGAACATATATTACTAGCGTGTTACTTTACAGAGTGACAAGACACAGCTCTTAATGAAAAGTGAAGTCCTGCCCCTCAGAGCCCTCATTACTCAGCCTCTGAGGGGGGATGATTGCAGTGAGGTGGCTTTTGTTAATAGTGATGGAAAAAAAAACCCCAACAAACACCAAAGCTAACAGAATTTGTTTTCATTAACAACAGAAAAGCAAAATAACCTGCCGATGCAACCACCGAGAAAAGGCAGGAATGAAGTCTAAATGTGACTATCTTTATTAATTAAGCATGAAGACCCCCTTCACCTTTTTTCTACCTGGGAAGAAACTGAATCAGCAGCGATGACAGTCAGCAAAACCCACACAGATGTCCCTGACAGAGAATAATACTAAGAGGTCATTTTTAAGGGGTTACCCCTTTCCACGTTATCAAGACAGATAGAAATAATACTCTGTAAAGGGCAGGTGAAGGAAGACAGAGGGTTTTCTGAAATCCTGTAGCAAAGAGCGAACATTTTACCCATCCCGGATTTAAAGCCAAGTAGGAGCTGTTCGCAGAGAAGCCGACTCGCGGTTCCTACCCCGGCTCTGCACAACCGGGCCAGGCGGCTCTCCGTATCCTCACGATGACTCCCGCGGCTCTGTCCGCAGACGGCGGATGGAGGGGGGGATCCCGAGCCGCCTCCCGGC